CTAGAGCTTGAAATTAAGTATCACTCCTAGAGTCGAAATCTGATGATCCATTCACAGTTGAGGATCTTCCCCAGGCTCCTTTGAAGCCTTTCAGCCTAGTGTGTGCATGGCCTAGTGTGTGCACAGAGTAGGTGGTACTCTGTGTTGATGGAATAAGAAAATAAATGGATGAATGAATGTACACCTCTAGGTAAAGTGAATTATTTTGAGTCTGTTTTCCAGTGCCTGCAAGGGAACTGGCCAAGAAAAAAACAAAAAATCACAATGCTGCTTATCCCTGAGTCCCCACATGTGAGCTCAGAGCTCATTCAAATATTTGCCAAAGTGCTTACAGATGCTGCAACTTCTCTTGTTACAGAATCTAACAAAGGCAGTTTATTTAGGCGCGTGGATTGGCAAGATAAGCTTGGCAAAGATGGCAAACCCTAGCAGCTTAGTAGCAGAAAAACTAGCTGGTGCAGGGACCTCTGGCCCAGCCAGGTTTCTTTGGACTGTCTCCTGGGACAAAGCTGCCTACATCAGTCTCGGCAGCTCCTAGAAGAGGGAGCCTTGGACAGGGTCTGCATTTAGCCTTAGCAAAAGTGGACCCCCATCCCCATGAATGCTGCAGGTCTGCAGCATACACAGCTGCAGCCCATCAAGAGAAGGATGAAAACCAAAGGGGACTGGGCTGCATGTTGGGTGGGGAACGATGACAGAGACAGTGAAGCCTTCAACAGAGGAAATGTTTTAGCAAACAAGTGCTGGCCTCTGCTCCCTCACCCCCACCTTTGACCCATCATCCTGTGAGAAGAGCGACCCAGGGCCAGCTGGGGAAGCAAGGATGCTGGGAACTAGGAAATCTGAATCCAGCTTTTCTTCCACATGAGTACAGACAGTTTTCCAAGTTCATTCAGATGGGGCCATGAACTGTGAATCAAAAGTCATCTGGGTGAGGAATGAGGGGACCAGATTCCCAGTGTCAGCATCACCACTGACCCCTAAGTGCCTAATTCAAGGTCAAGGGCTATCCAAATGCATGACAATATTGCAATTGCATAGCCGTTCTAATGCTCTGGTTTAGACAGTCTGAACAGTTCACATAGTCTGATCATATCCTAACAACTCACTAAGATAGGTAGTACTATCATGCCGTTTTACACATGAGGAAACTAACTAAGGCTCAGAGAGATTCATGCACTTACCTAAAGCCACATAGCCAGTCAGGGATGGAGTCAGAATTCACACTCCAAGTTCAGGGGACATTCTTATATGCTACCGTTTGTCTTACAAGCTTTCAAATAAACACTAAAAAGTGATGCAATACATATTTTTCAAACATTTGTCAGGACCTAGTCTGTGTTGAGAATACAGTGGTAAATAATATGCCACAGGGTCCTTGCTCTCTGCATTTGACGTTCTAGCAGGGAAATGTACAATGACCCATTAACAAGAACAGAACTCAAGTTCAGAAAATGGTGGATGCTATGAAGAAAATGAAGTAAGGTTATCAGAGGGAGATGTGGCAGGTCTCAAGACTGGGTGGCCAGGGAATGAGGCAGATGGCGCTTTCTATGACCCAGCATCTTTGGAGGAAATCCTGTTCCCCTAGGCTGTGTATGAGTGTGTGTAAGGGCAGGTCTAGCTGTCCAGATCAACATCTGGCCTCTGAAGGTGATAACCTGTGGGATGACCCCACATCTCCATACCTTATGCGAGGAAACATTCCCCAGGCCTGGTCCTCATCACCCTGGAAGTGGCTGTCAAGTTACAGGCTGCCCTGGTATAATATATGTCTGGGATTCTGTGCCCCCGAGGAAGTTAGGCAATGTATATGTGTGTGAGGTTGGAGGTGGAAGGTCCTTCAAAGCCTAGTGTCTACGAAAAGAAAGAAAGTAAATGCGTAGGATGTATATTTTCACTCACAATGAACACAGCTCCTATGTACAGAACAGCTGGCTTCTCACAGGACCATAGAGTATGACAGCTGGGAAGGATGTCCCCTAGATGGAGAGACCCAAACCCAGGAAGGAGACTGAGACTTATCCACGGTCACTCATGTGTCAGGGTCAGGATCAGTGTCACTTTCAGGTGGATCCCACCCTTCTCCATGGCTCATGAAAGGAAAAAGAGGAGAAGGCACACTTATGGAACAGATGCCGGACACTGCTCAGGCATTGTATGTCTTCAATACCCCCTCACTGAGGGCTCACAAACCTACTCAAGAGGCGTGCTTACTTTACCCAGTCCACTGAGCAAACAGGCCCACAGAAGAGAAGTGGCTTGCTCAAGGCTGTCTGGCTCTCAAGTGGCAGAACAGGATCAATCTGGGGCCACGAGGGCACTTCTCTTGCTGTTGCTCTTGAGATCTGCCAACATTTTTTTTCTGGGCTGCCTGAATTGCTAAGCAGACCCCCAAAAGGGGGCCAGAGATTGGAGGTTTTTCAGTTGCTCTTGTTTATCCACCAAGCCATAAAATAAAAATTCCAGGGATACATGTCACCACTGACTCATGGAGATCTCCACCCAGAGGGGAGAGCCTTGTGAGGAGTTGGAGGAGATGAACATTAGTAAGTTGGGACCTTGGGGAGTTAAGGAGCCCCAGGTTCTAAATGCCTGATGTGCTACCTATAATATAATGCAAACTCTCATCTGCTGCCTTCCACTTCCTTCTCTGGCTGCCCAGAATGAGGCCTACTGCTGACCCAGTAGTCTATGAAATCTACCAGCAGACCCAGGCTCACTCTGGGACCTGAAGCGATCACATCAGGGGCAAGGCGTACATCAGCGCAGTGTGTGTGTGCTCAACCTTGCAGAGCCAGGGTATGATGGCCCTTGGTTGAACTCAGTGGAACTGAACGCTGCCTTTCAGGGGGGGCTTGTAATAATGCTACTCGAAGCTGGTATGCCTACGTAGGTATTAGGGTGAAGGCAATAACCAAAAAGTGGAAAATGGAACATTACCTCCAGTTACTCTGCAAATCTCTTCCTCCAAGACCCCTTCTCACCAGGGAGGTCTGAGTCTATTTGTTTTCTGTGAGAACATGTGACACATATTACAGCCCACGTTGGAACAGAACTCTTTGTGCTCAGCTTCAGTTCTTACCACCTCCCAGCTCTAAGTGCCCGTAGGGCACCAGGGCACCTCCGTGCTACCTCATCTGAGTGAACCTTCCTGTGAAGGAAGGCCAGGTTTTACCAATAAAAATACCGGACGCCCACTTACATTTGAATTTGAGATAAACAATGAATAATTATGTAGTATAAGTATAATCCATGCACTATGTAGGACATACTTATATTAAGCAATTATCTATTGTTCATCTGAAATTCATGTTTAACAGGGCATCCTGCATTTTATCCTGCAGCCGTATTCCTGCAGCCCACATGCTGGTTGGCACCTGCCGCCCATACTGCTTGACTGAAAATAGCATAATATCCTATTTTGCAGTAGTATTTGGGAATGAATACTATAGGCTGCAGGGTAACATTTGTGTCATTTTTGGAGGACTTTTTCACCATATATAAAGCCTGTGCCTCGTGGATTGCAAATGAGACCCAGTTCCAGAGGAGGGTGGAAATGAGTTAGAAAGCAGTTAGAAAACAACCCCAGGGGATCCGAGACGCGAGCTTCATCTGCCAAGTATTTTATTCTCGTTAATTCATAACGGTGTCTTTAAAATCCTGGGCTAGAATTTGAGAACAGTCAGTGTGTGCGACAGTCATTACTCCGTGGCGACACCCACTCCGCCAGCCGGGCGCCCCTCTTGCGTTCTTGGTGCCACAGCGGCCTCCAGTGGTTGTCTGAGGAACCACACGCTGTCTCCACAGCCAAGATCCAGCCTGTTCCTAAAGCCAGGGCAAAAGGCGGCGGCACCCTGTGGCTGCCCAGGGGCCTGGGCTGTGTGGCAGGATCAGAGCCGTAAGGCAGAAGTGCAAGTGCGCGCCACCGTGGAAACAAAGCACTTCCCTGTTGCTGTGAAGCTCAGACCAGACGGGGTTCTATTTCATCTTCCACGCCAACGTGTAATGTATCTGCTGACCCAATTTTACAGATGTTCTCTTCAAAACGAACTCGGCTTTGTGAATATTTTTCTCTATCAAGCTGTGGTGATAGAAATGTCAAAAAGTGGGTGGGGGGGCTTGAAATAGAATGAGACACTGTTCTGCTCAGAATTCTTATTCTACCAATTGGTTGGACTGGAATGAATAGTGGGGGGATGTGGGAAAGGTAAAACCACCGGAATTAAGACCCCCTACCCCGGCCCAGTGCCTCTTACCGCCAACCTAGCAACAGTATCGCTTCATTTCCTAGAAAGGGCGGCACCAGCGATCCATTATTGAAAACACGCGACTCCCATAACCTTGTTCATTTTCATATGTGTAGCTCAGGGCAAGAGGTTCTCTGCTACGGCTTCCCTTTGATTTGAAAGCAATACAAAGAATAAAGGAAAATCAAAACTGTGGCCGTAGGAAGGCGGACGCTTGATCCTTCCACACATATGTGTGCCCTCCAGTTACTACAAAGGCAGTTTTCCAAACGGGTGGTCACCAGCCTTCTTTCTTTCACAAGGTGATTTTCTGGCGGTTTCATAAGTTTGAGGTGGCTCCTTTGCACATCATTTCAGCTGAAATCTACTCCCTGGATCAGGAGACCCAAAGAAGAGAAACGCTGTGGAAGCAGCAGTTCTTGCAGACGAGTGGACTTGAAGGTGGGCTGAAAATAGACTTGGTGGACTTGGATCTAAGGCTGCTTCCACTTGGCTAGCTGTGTCTCCTTGGTAGAGCTGCTTGCCTCCTCTGGGCTTTTAGCTCCCGCCTCAGAATAAGGAGCTGCAGTGGCGCATGCCTGTAGTCCCTGCTACTTGGGAGGCTGAGGCAGGAGAATCACTTAAGCCCAAGAAATCAAGGCTAGTCTGGGCAACACAGGGAGACCCTGTCTCTAAAAAAACAAAGGGAAAAAATACAAATAAGGAACTGGATGGGTGTCCTTCCAACTCCCAGTCTCTGATTCAAGCTACAGTACCTTTGTTTGGTCTTTCTCAAACTCATTAAAGACAGTTATTTTCATTCATTCATTTAGCATGCATGTAAGTGCCTAAAATTGCCAGGCCCTAGGTTAGAGGCTTAGTCTAGAAAAAATGAATGAGAAATGCCCACTTCCTTAGAAATAGGTCATTGCAAAGCAACATAAGAAGTACTAGAGGGAAGATAGGAGCTCAGGTTCTGGGCGCCCTGCTGATGGGAGTATGAATTTGTGTTACCTCTTTGGAGCAATTTGGCACTAGCTTCCAGATTTTCAAATACGTACACTTCATCAGTCGGGAGCCCTGGTTGTTTTACTGACTGGTTAATGTAAGCAGAAAAAGATTTTGGGGTTTTTTTGTCTGTTTGTTTTTGAAAGGCTTGAGTAGCTCATAGAATCCCAGGGAAGGCCAAAGTCTCAAACCTAAAAAAACAGATAAGGACAACAATGACCAGGCAAGCTGCCATAACTATAGTGCCACTGCCAGTGCTGGACGCTGTTTACCGTCACCGTGGAGCCCTCCTCTGGGGGAAGATGAATTCACCCTGGTTCCTGCTTTTCCAACTCAAGGAGGAAAGCATCTTGCTGAATTGAGTCAAAGTCACATGCCTGCTCTCTAGCCACAAGGAAGTCATGGGAAAATGAGCTGGCATTTTTCCCCTCTGCAGTGGCAAGTGGGCTCTGCCTGCCACTCAAAATACTTGAGTGCAGAATTTCCCAAGTAGAGAAAGACACTTAAGATGCTGGTGTCCAACATCATGTCAAATGACCTCTACACATGCCTTTGATTTGAGAATTCTATTTCTACAGTTTTATCCTTTAGAGGTACACTAATACACAAGTACACAAAGATGGTTACATGGTGATGTTCTCTGCATCGTACTTTGTAATAGCAATGACACTGGAAACAACCTAAAGAGTCAGCAATAGAAGCTTAGGAAAATGACAGAAAGCAAAGTGACCATTATAAAACCTGTACTCATTTATTCCACAAACATCTGTCGTGGGTGTTACTGTATACTAGGCACTAGGAGACAACGTCGCAAAAATAGACACTCTATTCCTCCATGGAGCTTACTGGGGAAACAGATACAAACGAAATAATTACACAAACCAATGTAAAAGTACAACCAAACTGAGGTCTTTGAAGAAGTGGTATGTGTGTGATGCAAGCTGCTATGCAATCTAGTCAAAAGCATCAGGGAGGGATGTCCTTGGGAAGAAAGGGTTAAGTTGGCCCTGGAGATGGAGTAGGAATTAAAACAAGGAGGTGTGGCAGGTCAGCAGGGGCCAGACCACGAAGGGTCTACACAAAGGGCAGGTTCAGGAGTTTTGTGCTTGTCCTCATAGTAATGGGAAGCCATTGTGATGTTTGGGAGGAGGGAGCGGAGGGTGGTACAAGTGGTAGGCAGTGACACAATCAGGTTTCAATTTGGCAAAGATCGTATTCAGAACTGTGTGAACTTGTTTGCAGTGTAGCAAGAGGAGGAGACCAGTTAGGAAGTGGTTGCATGTCCAAGTGACAGGAGATGGCTTCAGAATGATACCCTGAGCGGGGAGAAACCTGGATGGATACACTGATACACAAAGTATCAGTGGATCCATGTATCACACGGATACATGGATACACAAAGAGGTAAAATCCACAGGCCTGGTGGTGGATATCTCTATCCCATAGAGTTTCTGAGCTATCCAAGCCCCGCTGTGAGCAAAAAGAGTCAGGAAACTCAAGGCTAGGAGGAGCAGCAGCCTCAGTATTAACTTTTGTGGAAACATTCACATTCATTAGACGTCATGGGAGAGGAAGGAAACTCAGGTTTCTAGTTTTGTCCTCCAGGAAACGGCCTCACATGTTCACATAGGAATTCTTCCTATTTATGTGTCATAGAAATTTGGAATTGGGGAAATCATGCAGTGTGAAAAGCAGACTAGAGGTGTCATGCCACCACACAGCCAGGTTGTAAAACAGGATGTAGAAAAACCAATAGGATGTAGTGTATGATCCATTTATATATATATATATTATTCAGAGGAAGGATCCCTAAGCCAAGTAAACACTGGTGTCAGATAATTTTCTTTGCTTTTGTATATTTTTCTAATTTTTTGTGATGAATATGTAATACTTTTTCAACAAAGGAAAAATGCAATATTAGTTTTTAAAAGAAATCACCTAATTAACTTCTCTTTTATAGGAGAGGAAACTGAGATGGGAGAGTCTCTCCACCAAACAGGAAGAAAGAGAAATGCAATCTACTACCACTACATAAAATGGTTTGTTTTTAAATATTCATCTTTATTTGAAAGCTCCTTGCAATCATTAAAAATGTTTTCAAGGATACATGCAAAAGGCCGCTTACCTTATATAGTCGGCCAGTTATTTCAAAAATTGAACGTGCATTTCCCAATCATAAAAGTCTTGGAGAAAGGGGGGATTTTAGTAGTTTTTGTTTCTCTAGCAAATGTTTGCCTATGTTAGGGTTTCTCAGCCTTGGAACTACTGCCATTTGGGCCAGATAGTTCTGTATTGTTGAAGGCGGGGTGCTCTCTGTGTGTGATTCCTATCATCCCTGGCCTCTACACACTAGATGCTAGTAGCAGCCTTTCCCCAGTTGTGATAACCAAATATGATCCTAGACACTGACAAATGTCCAGAGAGAATAATTGCTCCCTATTGAGAACCTCTTGCCTAAGTGATGCTTATATACCTCAGATGACAGCTCACCACACTTAGGAGCAGGCTCCTCTAATGGTAAGCTGCTATGTTAGAAAGTTCAACCTCTGAATGACCATCTGTCTCCTTGTAGGGTCCAGCACTGAGTCTTCCCTTGGGGATCTAGATAGTGTGTTTAATCTCTCTTGCCTCTGATGGTTCTTCAGAAATTTCAGGATAGTGCCATGCTCTCCCCCACAACACACTACCTTTACCCACCCCAGAGTCTTTTCTCTCCCCATTTGAACACTCCTTCAACTGTTCCTCACATGACATGCTGCGTCTCACCCATCTTAGGGCTGTCCTCTGAACATGCTCCTGTTTGTCCACATTTCCATGACAGCTCCGTGTTCACCTCTGAACACAATTCTCCAGGTGCTGGCTGACAGTGGCACATAGGCAGAGCAGCTTATCCCATCCTTCCTCCTGAATACCCATTTATGTAGTCTGAGATGAATTTCACTTCCTGGCAGCCACATCACACAACACCCCCATCCTGAGCTGTTGGCCACAACGTGAAAGGGTTGCATGTGCAATACTGCTCCCTTGGGTCACCCCTCCCTAGCACCTTGGTCCAAGGGCCTGCCTGTTAGGCCTCCATTTATCCTTTTCAAACTTCAGCAGTTCCCAAGAATTGGTAAGCATGCTTACCTCTGAAGATAATAGGGTAGCTGGGGAAAAGGATGGAAGAGAAAATGACTCTTCATTGTATACATGTTTGTGCCTTTTGTTGTTTGAGACAGGGTCCCATTCTGTCACCCAGGCCAGAGTGCAGTGGCATGACCAGAGCTCACTGCAGCCTTGAACTCCCAAGCTTAAGTGATCCACCTGCCTCTGACTCACGAGTAGCTGGGACTAGAGGTACCATGCCACCACACCCAGCTAATTTTTTAAAAATTATTTTTTTGTAAAGATGGGGGTCTTGGTATGCTGGCCTGGCTAGTCTAAGAGCTTCTGGCCTCAAGCAATCCTCCCATATGTTTGTGCCTTTTAAACTTCGTACCTTACACAATAAACAAGCTAGTAAATGAATACATTGAAGTTACTTCACCTGCTGAGATCTACTCAATTACTCCAGCCTGCCCTGATCTATTTGGAAATATATGTCTTCCAATGTCCTCACCAATATAAGAGGGACTGCCTTCCAAATCTTTAGTCAAAACCAATAGGATAGGTAGAAAAAGATAAACTAAGGCTCACAAGGCCAAGACCACTAAGCAGGCCAGTGGTTTGCTTGGGGTCCCAAATTTCCAGTTGGGACCCCAAGAACCCACTAATTTAATTTCTTTACCTTGTTGCTATTGCGCATATGGTTTCTCTAAGCCTACCTAATTGGTCAGCCCACTTCCTCTTTCTGGGGAGTCTCTGTACTATAACTGCGGGGCAAGCTGAGAGACATATCACTGCCCAGAAAAGTGTGTCTACGGTCAAGTGCAACTTACCATCTACCCTCAAGAATTCAACTCCTTTCCAAAAACCCACACCACAGCTGCCTTGGCCTCACATGGGGAGGAATAGGTTGATACTTTAAGGGGGGCAAACCTGTACTGTGGTATCAACATCTGTTAAATGGCTTCATTTGTTTCAGGGCAGCATCAAGTGGTCCCAAACAGCAGCAAGAATTGTACACACAATGATAATGGCTAATTTAATGCGATTTGTTCAAATAATAATTCATGTTGTACTTAACACAAATACAAAGGTATGTTTTTCAATAATGTAGAAGATAATGAATTCATAAAATCTGTTAAGCTAATGAGTACTGAATAAAAATCACCTGCAAAAGGTTCTTTCGGAAACACTCCCAAAACTACAATAAATTAGGGCAAGGATTTTGTAAATGGCAGCTTCAGTCCTGCTCCAAACCTTCTTACCCACATAAATCTTAGTCCCTGACTTTTATAGAGGGAAAACAAAAAGCAGTTAACCCCTGGCCTTTGTTCCTCTTCTTGTCCTCAACCCAACTCTTGCTTCCTAGCCTGTGTGGAGTACACTACTAGACCTCAAGCTTTTGTTCCTCGTTGGCAGTGGGACCCCTCCTTCCTGGGCCGTCACATTACTCAGAGCCAGGTACCTGAGGGTTGGCTCCTATCCACCACATCATCTGAAGCCAACTTGTCACATTTGTTCTCTCCCACCCAAACTCTTCCGCCATCAGAGGAAAAGGACTACCACCTAGAATCCAGAGTCAAACAATGGCATTCTTTGGTGATTAGCACCACACATGACAGTGATCTCAGGCAGGGCCTGGAGAAACAGCGTGGAAACTCTGACCCCAAAGAAAACCCTTGAGTATGGGCTCCCCACATCAGACTGTGTTTTATCACTCAGAGGAAAGCACCATCTGCCCCATCAGGTGAGTTGGCAGACATGGACACCAACAGGAGCTTTCAGTAACAGGTGGAAAGGCAAGACCCAAGAGTACTGAGAACTCTCGCTCATTATGGCCAAATGATAGGTAATATGAAGGCACCAATTAATGACAGTCCTCTCTGGTTCAAGTTCTCATGTGCAGAAGAGAGAAACTGTTCTGGAGAACCAAGGGGCCACTGAGTGCAGTGAGGCTGATGGCAGGTTCCACCACAATGGGCTATCCCTAAGGCCCAAAGGGACAACGGCAGATGCCAAAGGGAGAACCTGGGTTCTAGTTTAACCCAGATCCCAGGCCAGAATTCAAGAGATTCCTTTGAAGAGCTCTAACATGCAGGATGGACTTGGGAAAGGTAAAGGAGCTGAGCCTCTATTTGGTAGTTTATACCCAAAGCCCTTCACACAGTGAGGGATGAACAGCTTGGGAACCTGACAGATGGCGGTAAGATTAGGCAGAGAGAGAACAGCCAGTTTCCCTCTGTAGCCAAGGTCAGGCTGCTCCAGAGTCACCTGGCTTACCTCCCAGCACAAACCCCAACTAAGTAATTCAAGAGTATGGTAGGCTGGGTGTATACCCAAAACAATTAAGAGCAGGGACTCGAACAGATATTTATACATCCTTGTTGACAGTAGCATTATTGCAAGAGCCAAAAGGTAGAAATTACCCAAGTGGCCATTGGTGGATGAATGGATAAGGAGAAGGTGGTCCAAAAAAAAAAAAAAGATGAATGAAACAGGGCTGTGCAGCCGTTACAGCTGTTAACCAAGAACTGTCAATGTCATAAAAAACCAAGCTAACCATATCTTGCTTTTATGTTTGATCAAAAAAGCAAGATACAGATTATATGAGTAGACTGCAGCTATGTAAAGCTAAATATGTCCACATCTGCGTAGGCAGGTGAAAGAGTGAAAGGAAATACACCAATGTCAACAGTGGCTATGTCTCAAATGGTGGGCTTTTCATCTTCATTTTTCACATGTTCCAGATTTTATGCAATAAGCATATGTTACTCTGATAATGGGGTGGAGAGACACAGTAACTATAAGACCAAACCACAAACAATGCAAAGAAAAATGAATATTTATTCAATCTCCAGATGGGAAGGGGTCTGTGTGTATAACAGGAAAAAATACAGAAAAAACTATCATACAGGAAAAGATCAATTTGTTTGATTACATTAAAAGGTGAAACCCATAACCAAAATTTAAAGGCAAATTCACACAAGTGGAAATACAAATGCCCAACCATCATACAAAAAGAACTATGATCAAGGTCCCTAATACTCAAATAATGAGAAGTTAAAACAGGTTACCACTTTCACCTATTAACATCAGGGTACTTACTTCTGTTTCTTTCTTTATTTGTATGCTTGCTTACTTTATATTTCAGTTTACTACCCACTAAGGCAGCAAGAGAGCAGAAAGAGAAGCAAAAGAGAGACGTTTTGACAACTTGGCACTGAGAGACTGTCCTAAGAGAATAAACTGAAATACACAAAAACATTTTATTCACAAAATTGATCAACACAACATTATTTATAATACAGAAAATCTGGAAATACCTAAATTTCTAATAACTGAAAGTTAAGTAAATTGTAAGACTACACAATAAAATACATTACCAGCAATATAAAGTATCTTTGTGAAAATCTGCAATAACCACATGTAATAGTGAAAAAAGAACATTAATTGCATGATAAAGAACACAATATGATCACAAGGCAAAAAATTCACACCCCCAAAAAAGACAAGATATTTACTGACGATATTCATGTATTTGTCCTGCATTTCTATTTTTTAATTTTTCCATAACTGACACATCAATTTTATAATTAGGAAAAAAATACTTATTTAAAGTAAAGTGAACACAAGATTCTCTAGCAACATTCGTTCCATCCCATAATACAGTCTAGAGAGTCACAAAAACCTCAGCCTCCTTTGGAGGGGGTGGTGGGAAGCCCGGTAGTGAAGAATGGTCATGAATGAATGGATGAAGAGAGGGAAGGGACAACCTAGTAGGAGGGAGGCAGGGATAGGCAAGGGAAAGGTGGGGACCAGTTGTCACACTGGTCGGCCAAGGAAAGGGGCATTGTGGAGTCAGGGAAGACTCTGACTGCTCAGCAGAGGTCTGTCTAGACCCAGTAGTAGGCACTGACGGTGTTATTAAAGGACAGGATCAAAGAGAGATTTTAGGAAGACACATGGATTCTTTTAGGGACAGGGGAGGAAAAAGGAGGGGTAGGTCAACTACTTGGAAAGAAAGGGAAAAGGAGTGAGAAGATGGCAATGGAAGGGGGGAGGAGGGGGCTGAATGCCTTAGTGACTTCCATACGAAACATACTTTGCTCACCTCCAGGTAAGTCTTTGTGGGGCAAATGAAGGGTAAAGAAACAGCTCATAGGAGGAACTTGCCAGGAGTCAACAAATTCAGTTCAAATTCAAAGAAAATCTAGGAGTCTCCAAAGAAAATCACAGAGTCCCACTGTGTCACCAAGGCTGGAATGCAGTGGCAGGATCTTGGTTCACTGCAACCTCCACCTCCTGGTTCAAGTGATTCTCCTGCCTTGGCCTCCCAAGTAGCTGGGATTACAGGCGTGCGCCACCATGCCTGGCTAATTTTTGTATTTTTAGTAGGTACAGGGTTTCACCATGTTGGCCAGGCTGGTCTCAAACTCCTGACCTCAAATGATCCGCCTGCCTCAGCCTCCCAAAGTGCTGAGATTACAGACATGAGCCACCATGCCCGGCCTCATACATACTGGGTTTTAACAAGCCCATCAAAAAAGTAGTTCTGATGCTCCCTCATGTTTGTAAGCCATTGAACGAGGGCCATTCAAAATGTCTCTAGTTCTGCTGTCAGCTAAACCACACAAAAGAACCCCTGCTCAAATGAAACAGAGATTTGTACAAATGAAGTAACTGGAAGACCAATAAAAAGTTATGTACAGCTCAGTGGGGTTGGGGAAAGGTTATATGAAGCCACAAAGATATGGTTTCTCTAAGCCAAGCCAAGGTAAGGAACTATGGAGTAGGCGATAAAGCCAAATGCACTGAAATACGTCATAAGAAACTTACAAACTGTATTGTAAAAGTCACACTGAACATGATGACAGCAATCACGAGGATGAGGAACAACAAAGAAAAAGCTGAGGGAAACTATCAACCAAACAAAGTCGAGGCTTCCAAAAGAGACACAAGCTTCAGGATCAGGAGATGAACAGGGCCCTTCAGTCATGGAGAAATTGTTGCCAGAATAGTCAGTCACTTAACGGCTTAGAAGATCACTGTGTTACCATGTATACCTCTATTATAGGCTAATTAATTTTAAAAATCTAAAATTTATTGATTTAATATAATATCTTGTCATTTTTGGTAACAATTAATACACTGCAGTAACCTAATATAGGGTTTTTTTGCTGTATTTTGTTTCACCAACATTTACCTTGAAACACTAAAGACTCTGTAAAGAGAAAATTACTAAAAATTACTCCTCCACTACAGGACATTAGATATTTATATTTATTTAGAAAGCTGTTGACACTTCCAATGACTACTGATAACTGATAAGCTTAAACATGTTAATGAATTGTAAATATTCCATTCCTTTTAAGATTATATACACTAGGCTTTTTACTACCACTGGCCTTTCTGGATGCTTTCATATTTAGAGAATATAGAACTACATTCTGACAGGTTGAAAATGACCTAATATTACACTAATGAAAAGTCTAACAGTCCTCAAAATAATTTAGAATTTAATGTTTTCTTAAGCAACTAAAAGTAGGATATTTTCTGCCTCCAGAATAAACATGTCTGCAACCAACCATCCCTAAAGAAGAATACTGTTTTGAGTGACTCAAACCATCCATGGATATAGTTACATCTTCAAATGTTTTCCACTGTGAACAACAGTCTTTTAATAGATGGCCATTGACTTCAAGGGTCATATTATTTGCTAACAAATTATTACTGGGCCAGAAAGTATCTGAAAAAAAGTTTAACGAAATTTCCTACACATCTCATATCTCTAGTTTATTGAGCATTATTTATTATTTGATGTACAAATTCTACATTAATTACTTCATACATATTTTATCTCGACATTTTGAAGCCCCATGGTATTAAAAACAAAAATAAAAGATAGACTTTAAGACATTGGCTTCTGGTATTGTTTTAACTTTAGATTTGAAAAAGAAACATGGATTACATGTTAACATAATATTTTGAATATATTGGGCTACATAAGATATATTATTAAATTATAAATAAAATAATCAGGAACTTATTTTGGTGCCTAGTTTGATATATTGTTACTTTTTGAAATGCACTCAATTCCACAAATAATCAAAGTATTCTTTGTGTATAATGCTATGTTTGGTTATTACATATGGTCTTGGTATTCAAAGGTATAAATGACGTAATTTGAGTTTGTTTACTTTGTATTTATTCAATAAATAAGCTGTAATTGTTTTAAAAAGAGGGAAATTTTAAAAAACTGGTGCAATTACCAAGCATAAATTAATAAAGACTAAATGAAAGGGTTTGGCTGTTACATATTCTCAGGCCAAATTGTTCATGCATGTTTGGATTAACTAGCTCTCAGGCTGCTTCCAATATTATGGGTAATCACAAAACAACCAGCTCTAACTCCTCTCACCAGCTGGAAGGGAGCACATTACATTTGCCATCCATGGTTGGCAAAACTCAAGGCATCAACGACTTGAAAACTCCTCCACCTTGGGAATCATTATACATATTGTGATCCTGCAGTGGGTCAGAATCCACAAAATACAGTTCTCCTGCATGGATGTCAGAAAAGTTAGCCAGAAATTCATCAGGATTGAAGCCAACCCACACAGTATACCTATAGTCTACGGTGCGTATAGAATAACCCATGATCTTTATATATTTTAAACTCGGCTTGTCAGAATTCTGCTGAGGGAAGTCTGCAGGCCGGGGATACTGGCTATAGGCAATCAGTTCACGGGGATTACCAGGGACATATGGATCCTCTTCCAAGCCATGGAATTGAAAATGCTTCAGAAGGTTCCTGCCTTCTCTGCACAGCTCAATATGAAATGAAGGAACCGGGCAGCGAGGTGGAACCTGCAGTCCTGCAAGTCCAGTCAGCGTGGGAAAAAGAGACACGAGTTCCACAAGGTCCATGGATTGCCTGCCTGAAACAAGAAGTGACACGGCGGAATGGGTCATATTATAAAAGCATGCCCAGGCCAGCCAGGATCAGTAAAGGAACTGTCTGGGCGCCACATGTTTTCTTTTTTTAATTTACAACATTTACCTTTACCAACAGATGTTTAAGATGTTTAGAAACACCACCACCTCAGCACCTCACACCACATTGACTACTCATCCAGTCAAATAGCAGGATACAAAATTAAGGTCCCAACAGCATGCTGGCATTTTTAAAAACAACCTGAATTTTGGAACCACCAATGTCGTAACTGATTCAGGCAAGGATCATCAATTAAGGCTAAAACCACTGGGTACAAAACTATGTTGAGAAACAGGATATTCTGAATCCACAGGATCACCCCACACATTACTCCCTTCTAGATGTCTGCATTAGATTCATCTTTTCTTTTTATTACGGTCAAATACACACCAAAAAATTTACCATCTTAGCCATGAAGTGTCCCCCAATCTGATACAATGGGAGAATACAACAGCCCATGTAGTACACGTGTCAAAAATGTTTACCCTGAATGAAGTCATGTGGGAAGAATCCAGGCTGTGGGACGCTGTATAAGACACCTGGCTTGGATACTTATAAAAAGATGAGGTCAGGGAGATAATAGAGCCAGAACATATAAGGCCACTGTGACGACTTCTACTCAGACCAAGAAGGAAACATAAGAGACTCCTGTGCCGGCCTGTGACATGACTTGACTTGGGTTTTAATGGGATCACTGTGGCCGCTCTGAGGAGGAAAGCCTAAAGGGGATCGAGGGCACAAGCAAGGAGACCATTTGGCAAGCTGTTACAGTACTTCAGCACAAGATAGTGGCAGTCTGGACCAGGGTGGTGGCAGAGAAAGTGGTGGGAAGTGGTACACACAGAGTCTGAATGGAGTGACAGGCTTGCTCACAGACTGACTATTGCATACGGAGTAAGAGAAAAACGGGTTGAGATGATTCCAGGATATTTTTGGCATGAGTCACGAGTCCCATTTCTTGAGGACAAGAAGAGTGTTGAAGGAAAGGCTGAAGATGCAAGATGTGAAGTGTAGCTCTGGACATGTTAGACCGGCCAAGCGGGAAAGGCTGTTGGAAACAAAAGTCTGAAGTTCAGGGAAAAGATACAGGCTAGAGATAAAATCTGGAAATAAACTGAAAGGCAGTACAGTTACACGAATTTCTAAATTGCTGAACACTTCCCAACAAAAGTTGTGGGAAAGATCCTCAACCAATCAGAAGAACTTTCCCAGCAAACAAAGGGCTAACATCACGCCTTGCAACTGTTAACCTTTCTATCAATGACATGAAACAAGACAGCGGCATGCAGTGCACACAAATCAACTGTGCAGAAAGTAAAATTGGGTAGTATAAAGCAAGTTCAGAAAGATCCAGAAGGCCAGAATGATGGTCCAGAACCAAGACAAATTTAAATAGGAATCAGTACACAGTACAGGATTTAGATGTTAAGGATGGACTAAATGCATAAGTCCAGAAAGGGGGCAACCTGGTTTAGTGTGGTTCATAGAAGAGGCACTCCAAAAAGAGCAGACGTCATACATCACTTCAGAGATAGTACACAGCTTGTCTCTGAAATGCACTGGGAAGATCGAGTCAGGATAGAACTCACAAGAACCCACACAGGTTGCCCACACATCCAGAAAGGGTGTCTGGTCCAAGTGATATTCTGGAAGTGCTTTCTCAAACTGAAACTTTTTGGGAGACAGAGACCAGGACAACCATGGGTCTAAATACTACCTTGTGACGAATAGGTGAAGCACTGGGGATTTCAGCCTGGAGAAGAGAAGGTATTGGTGGAGGGATGGGGTAGGGGTTATCACTGCTGTTTTCAAAGCTTTGAAGGACTGGCACATGGAAGTCAAAGTAAACTTGTCCTTCACTGCTGGGGAGGGCAGAGTAGAATCACCTAGTAGATTTCACAGATCTAGTGGTTCACCATATTGATGAGCTGTCGAAATGGAAAATGTACCCCCCCCCCACAAAGAAGGCTGAGTCCCTACCAAAAGGGTGTAGCCAGGAAAAGGATTCTATTCATCTGTTATGGGGGCAGCCCCTTCCTCTAAGCTCTGGAGCAGACTCCTGTAGACTATACCACAGCTCTCCCCATCTTGGGGATGCACCTGATCCTTTGTCCATCATCACCCCACAAGGCTCCTTGTGGACAGGGGCCATACTTGTCAGTTCTAGTTCTGTCACTCTTTCCTCACCCAGAGCATGAGAGATGCTCAGGAAGCATGTGCTGACCACAAAATATTGAGAAGAAATTCCAACACAAGGCAGGAAGGGGGGGTCTGTGTAACCCCTCAGCCTGTGAGTCGATAAAGTAGTTCACATAGAAAGCAAAGGCACTCTTGCTGTCAAGCACAATCATTTCAGCATATTTGATACCTGGCTCCATCAAGTCTGAGGCGGAATGAAAAGGGTCGACATAAGGGAAAAGCTTCTCGCCTGCCTCCGGAAGTGAAGCCGTCCTTCCAGGAACGTAGAACATCAGCGGAACACGGGTAGCAACATCAAAATTGCTGTATTTGGCCCATTCTCCGTGTTCACCTAGAGCCCACCCTAGTTCATAAAAAGCACAGAATCATAGAAAAGGAATAGTCATCATACCACAGCTTGTTTATTTTAGAAACCATTTCACTTCCTGTTGTAAAAACCAGATGAAGTAGACACTCATCACCTAGATGAAAAAAAATTCACTTGGAATTACCACAGAAAGGGTGATTTCAACTGAATGCTGCTTTACTCAAAATCAGCTATTTGTCCTCAATGAGGAAACTTTTAAAAAAGAAAACATAATTAAATTCCCAAACCCAAATATCTGAACACACTACTAGCAACAAATGCATAACGCTGGTCTCCGAGGTGGTCCCCACACAGATATGCCCCCGCTGCTGAGACACGCTCATTCTTGACCGGGTGGGAACCCTGAAACCTGTAGTGTCACCACTGCCCTGTCCTGTACCTACCGATCTTTTGGCTCCTGCCCTATGAGGTCAGGTTTTCAGTTTTGGGTATGTGCCACCTAAAACTGAGCTGCGGAACTGCAACACAATCATCAAATTCAAAACAGCCAAGGACATCTTGGTTGATTTTTGAGACATACCATCGATAAAGTAAACCAAAACCTCTGATTCCAGATCCTTAACCCCGATTGAAAACAGCCCTTCCGGCCTATTTAAAACATCCCTTGCAAAAGATGGTTTGAATACTCCAAGTTGGAAATGCCCAGTCTTTTCAAGTTACAGCACCCTTTTTGATACAAAAAATGTGCATGACAGAAATTGGACACTGGGTAGCGTTATAAAAATAACCAAACACACCAATGGCTGCCACGGGTAAATTAGAGAAAGTGTTGAAATCTACCGTACAGCAGGAGACCTTGCTGGTTCTGAGTAACAAGATGACGCTGGGGCTGCAAATGGTGTCCCAGCCTCCCAGGGACTGTGGTCTCCAGAACAGCATTAAAACCTGTTCTGAGTTGACAGTGCTCTCCTAAGAAGACCCCAAGTCGAGAGGAAGCTCCTACCTACCAATCAATAATCAAAGCAGACTTGATACCCGTCAGAGATGCCCAGTGATTGTGGTGAACGCTTCCTCTCTCTGGCTGTCAGTACTGGGGACTGCAGTGGGAACTTTCAGATAGCTCAGTGGAGCTCAGGGAGAGAGGGGGATACCCCCACCCCAGTCAGTCAGCCCTGTGGGCCTAGGAGTAGCCCCACTGCTCGACCTCTCCACTCTCTCCGGGAGGATGACGCAGCCTTGACCCACGAGGACTGATGAATGGGTAGGTTTTCGGCAGGCTCCTAGGGCACCAGCTTGGAGGTCACGTTGTCCCTTTTAGATTCAGTGTGGCGGGAATCTAAAGGGTCAAGGATTGAGGAGCCTGCAGGGTGGCAAAGTGAGGGACCCCAGCTGTGGGACCTCAGGAATCCATCCCCAGAAATCTGACTGGGGTACCCGTGGAGGCTCTGAAGTTACAGCAGTCAGGCACTCTTTGGCACTCTGAATACCGGCACGCAGACCTCGGCCTCTGCCAGCTATTGTGAGCTGTCCTGCGCCAGGCAGAGGTGGCCCCCAGGCCCGGCACAGAGCCTAGCACATGGCACGTGCTACAGAAATAGTTGTGAACTGCCTGACTACAAGATCGCATTGACCTATCTCGTGCCGGGCCTCAGCCTGTGCTGCTGCAGCCAGGAGCAAATACAGGGAAAAGTCTGGCTAAGGAGAACATGTGCCTGTGTGGGCCCCAAAGATCCATCTTGAGATCAGGAGGAACAAGAGCCCAATGACCTTGACAGGCAGCTCAGGAGGTTTCTGGCTCCTGCCACAGAAGCCCGAGATGAGGATGTGGCAACACAGGCAGGCCCAGGGAATGGTGAGCTTGAGGAGAGGTGGCCAGACCACCTGAGACACTTGTTAAAATTCATTTTCCCATACTCAGAAGTGCGAGCTTCTGAGACCAGGTGCAGAAACCAGCATGTTATACTAGCTCCCAGGCAGTTCTAATGGACTATTTCCCAGGAGGGGACTTTGAGGTGGGATATCTGCAATCTATGGCAGCTGCCTCACAACTAGAGCCTGTTCATGGAGAAAAGGAAACTGGGCACTGAGGGGTCAGAAACAGATGGCAGATCATCAGGAATATGTGAAAAATTATACCACCTCCATATATAATAAAATACTGTAGACCTTTACAAGGAAAATGTAGGTTTCTGAGAAATGATAAGAGATTGTCTATGACATTAAGTGTACAAAATCAGGGAACGTTAACAGTACATGCAGTACAAGCAATCACATCTTGTGATACACATGTTACAAACATACACATGTATAACGCATATCCCTGTGTGCATAAGTGCACGACTGATGGCTGGCAGATGGAGCCCTAATCCGTTGGCACCTGTTAGCGTTGAGCAGGTGGGAGAAAAGGGCAGGGTGTTCTGACCTGGATTATATGTTCTGTCTCCTTTTTTCTTTTTACGAGAAGCTCGTTATGATTTACTGGTATCCTATTTCGTATTTGATGAAATGAAAGAATTATTTTCCTTTTTCTAAGTATGATAACAGTATTTTGGTTATACTTCAAAAGAGGCAATGTTTTTCAGAGATAGCGATCAGACAATGGAACCATCTGGGATTTGCTTTAGAACAATTGGGAGATGGGGGAGTGGGTGAAGATAAGAGGAACAAGACTATGTGAGTGGGAAACCGGGAAGCTGCTGTTTTATTCTCTGCTCTTGGAGTGTGGAAGAATTAAAAAATGCTTTTAAAAAGATAGTTCCATTTTGGAAAAGAAGGAAACAGCCTTAGAGGAGATAAAGACTTGAAAAGCCTAGGCTCTCGGCAGAGAAGACAGTGGGAATAGGGGTGGGAGGGCTGGAGCCAGGCCTGAAGAGCTTGCTGGGCTCTGCCAGGATTGTTCTGGATCCTCTCCACTCAAACCTTCAAACCCTCCAGGTTAAAAATGGGGGTTATAAGAGCTCTGCCACACAAATGGAGGGTTCTTGCTGCATTCACCGAGAAAAAAAAATTTTCTACACGCCCCTCCCTGGCCCACCCACATCTGTCCCTCAAGCATCTAAGGTAGAGGTCTCAGGCAGGACTAACAATTTGATCATAAAAATGCCCCAGGATCCCAGACTCAAGGCACTACTGGTTCACAAAAGAGAACACACCCATGTTTATGGCAATAGCAATTTTGAAAAGGATGTTTCACAGGAAAGTTCAGATACTTTGAGTCACCAGGGAATTTCAAAATACTTACCATGATCCGAGGTAAATGCAACAATGGTGCTGTTGGCCAGCTGAAGATCGTCCAAAGCACTCAAGAGGTGACCAACCTGTGTATCCAAATATGACACAGAGGCAAAGTAGCTCTGGCGGATTTTCCGCTGCAAATTAAGACAATAAAATAATGAGAGTGACTGCAATTTAAATTGCTGTGGCATACAGATATAATGCTTGCCTGAGCATCTCTCTCAATCCCAACCACTGAGTTGATGTCCTTAATGATTTTCTCAGTCAAGACATAACACTCCTTTTCCTGCCATCTGTATCGCTTCGACCACAGAGTCACAGCAACATCTCTAGGTCTAAAAATAAGATCAATATCTAAGCAAATCAGATTTCATTTTAGGGCACAAATCACAGTGGATTAACGTGTCACTTACTGTTCCCTTCTGTCTCCTTCACATATTCTGATGGACTCCAATAGATAAACATGTACACAGAAACTAATCCCTTCAGTCCTCGAAACACAGGCCCACACATGCTCTGGTAAAGGTCACAAAGATACAGCTCAGCTCTGTTAATCTCCTGTGGCTGCCGTAACAAAGTATCACAAACTGGGTGGCTGAAAACAAGAGAAATGCATTGTCTCCCAGCACTGGAGGCTAGAAGTCCGAGATCAAGGTGTTGGGAGGGCCATTCTGCTTATCTTCACAGACCATGGCTGTTACGTGGACGTCATTTCTAACAAACTCTCAGCAGGCAGGAGAAGAGTAAGGGAAAGACCAGAGAGCAGCACATCTTTCATAGTCCCTGAACCCAAGAGGGACTTTGGGAACAGCTAGGTCATGTCCTGAAATAAATGAGTCACTGGTCCCTCCTGGGCTCTCATCCCCAGCCTGGTTCATAAATGCTAAGGACAAAGATTAATCCTCTACCCCAACAAGGGGTGAGAAGAGAGAGCCATGACTTCTCAGACCAACCCCTGCCTTATCAGCTGGATCCACCAGCTTCTCACCACCCCTTCTCACTGCAGTCAAGAGAAAAGATCTACATCTAGACGCCTAGCAGAGTTATGCTGAATCCTGGCCTACTTATACTTTCTGGGAGACGAAGTCTTCAGTGTGAAACCTGTGGAACTTTGGTCCTCCTGGGAACAAAAGACACCTGTCAGGATGGCTGTGTCCTATACAAAGGTATTCCCTCCTTCCTATGCTAGCCCCTGGATGTAAGGCAGTAAGCAGACAAGGTCCTCACCCTTAATGAGCCACCCATCCAGTGAGGACACGATCATGGAGACAGAAAAGTACATAATAATCAGTGAGGCCCACAGTTGATACAGGAGAATAAGCCCTCAAATCTGACTGAGTTTTAGGGAAGGCTTCACATAGGAGTTAGCATTTGTTAAGAGGCACTGCAGTCAGATAATCAGGGCTCAGATGCTCCAAGCAGGGGCTGTGGTGCACAGAACGGTGTGGAGTTGTGACACAGCAGGTCATGTTTGGGGCCAATGAGTAGGCCCCTGTGACTGGAGAATCAAATGGGAGGGCAGACTGGAAAGTTAGGTCCAGGCCAGATAATATGGACCTGGTGGGTCTATCCAGGGAGTGGAGACTCCAAGTTCTAGGTCAGTGGAGTCACTGAGGTCTCTCAAGGCAAGAAGTTGATGTGATCTGGGCTACAAGTTATTAAGAGTCCTGCAGCAACAGGACACAGACACAGATTCCAGACACTTTAGACAAAATGGTACTAGACCACTGCTGGGTACATAAGAAGTAACCACCACACTTGCTAAATGAACAAAAGAAAGCAAGACCCACTGAAGTGGTCCAGAAGCATGTGCTGAAGGATCCAGAGGACTGTGTGGATGTGAGAGGAATTTAGGGGGATCAAGTAGACATGGGAGCAGGGAGCAGAGCAGGAGGAGGTGCTGAGGAACCCAAGGGTGGCTCCAGGTTTCACATTCAGCTGGTGACACAATTCACTGGCATGTGGGGGCAGGGGGCACAAGAGGAGGAGGAAGGAAGGAGAAAAGACAGGGCAGGGGTGGTGGCCTGGCCATGCAGAAGCCTATAGATCTGAGGTCTCCAGGGTCATCTGCCTGGGAATGGCTCTTGCAGGCAGGTGAACTCACATATCTGAAAATCCGGAGTGGGGCCTGGGCTGAAGAAATAGTTCTGGAGTCATCTGCCAAGGCTCAACTGAGCCCAGCTGGGGAAGAAGGGGTGGAAAGGACACAATCAGTGGCCTGGGAAGTGGCACCTAAGTGGCAGACACAGAAAGAGGGGACTGTCAGGGAGCCTGGAGCAGAGGGGGGGCAGAAGTCTAAAAAGGAAGCCTGGGAGGCCAACAGTTCCAGAAGGGGTGGAGCTGGCCAATAGTGAGAAAGTGACATGGAGCTCAAGGAAGGTCAGGACTCACACAGATGGATTTTATTGGCCACTAAGGTCAGTGCTGAGATCAGAGAGTTTAATGGGTTGGGGAGGCGGAAGCGTGTGTAGAGAAGGGTGAAGAACAAACGGACAGTGAGGCCACAGACACAGCCAGAACAGCCCAGTATGCCCTCGTTCTGCCTTGGAGGTCAGGTGATGGAGTGGGAAGAAGAAACAGGCACAGGCAATAGGGGTGGCACTTTTGCAGCTGGGAGGTATGAGAGCAGATGGAGAGGCTGCAGGAAAGGTGGGTGAGAAGACTTTGCTCATTCTACTTGCAGACGTGGGAAGCAGGAACAGTGTGGGGAGTCTAGGGAAGAAGAGGCCTCAAGCCCAGAACATGCACACACAAAATTGCAGATCTCGGTGACAGAGATTATGACTAGAGCCCATTCACCAGGTACATGCTAGGTGGCATCTGATCCTCTGAATGGCACATTAAGGACTCCAAGACTCAGAAAGGTTAATTAACTTGCCCAGAGTCACAAAGCTGATAAGGGGAACAACCAGGATGCATACCCACATCCATCCGATCCCATCCCTGTAGCTGTCCACCGCCTCCATTTCTACAAGAGGAAAGGTGCTGTCCACTGAGAAATGAGCACGGGGTGGCAAAGGCATGGAAGGGAGGACAAAGGGAGTAGAGAAGAAGTCAAGCAAACAGAGCAGCTGCAGAGGACCAGTGAGACGAGCTGAGCAGAGCTTGCCTGGGCTGCTGGGATTGGAGGCGGGGCATCTGAGGGCCTCCCTGCTTCCTGGGGGCATGGATTTCCTCCAGCAGCTTTCAGGGCTTGGACTGGAGAGTGGAGAGTGTCGCTGGACTGTCTAATGATAAGGGTATTACAGGGGCAAGGATAAATGGACAACTATGCTGAGCTGAGCGCCTGGGAAGAACACTAAGTCACCTGATACCAGGCCTTAGCAATTTAGGGAAGCAACAAAGCCAACAGGCCCTGGACACAAGGTGGACACAGAAATCCACACTCTGGCGATCCCCATGAGGTGGAGCAAGAAAGGTACTAGAAGAGGTTGTGGGCAGTATGGTGACTCAGAAGGAGCAGGCAACAAACTCCTGACTGTGGCCCCTGAGGTCACTGGCTCCTGTGGAGCTGAGTTAGAAGGCTGAAGCCGGAGAGGGCCCAGAACTGAGATGCTCAAGAGTGCAGTGAGATGGGCTTAGATGCAGACATCCAAAGCTGCAGGAGAACAGTGAGCAGGCCTGAGTTCAAGGGGAATACAGGGCCGGGACCAGCACATGCATGCATCAGCAAGGCCCCCTGGGTCATGCTATCCACCAAGTAAGGAGGGGACTAAGAAAACTTGAAAGAGACCGCTCCGTGCAGCTGACATGGCTCTACACACTTGTGTGTGCGCTCTTTTGTTCGTGCTGAAAATCTCTAAAGTAGATGTTACCACGGAAAAACTTTACCCACCTTGTTTTGGTTTTATAGAGCAGAAAACTCAGGGAGGTTCAGGAAGGTAACATGACTTGGCAGAGGTTAGGCAGCTGGTGTGAGGTAGCACATGAATTAAAACCCACACTGCTGGGAACCAACAAATCTAACCACGGGGCTTTGGAGTTACAGTCCCTGGGGATGAATCAGCTCCACCCAGCACTAATTTTGTGCTGTCAGACAAGTCAGCACACCTCTCATGCCTTGAGTTTCCTCACCTAGATGACAGAGCAGGTACTCCACTAAGTCCCCATGAGGACTAACGGCAACAGCACAAATGAATCGGTACCCTTACTGGCACATAGTCCATTCTGAAGGGTCATTTTTAAGTGACTGTCACGAATAAAGCAAGGGATATCTGTATGTGGTGGTTTTGTTCTGTGTTCGTTTTAAACAATACACTACAGCAGTGGCTCTCAAACTTTCTGAGTGCATCAGAATCACCTGGTGTGTTTTTGTTTGTTTATTTGTTTATTTTTTAGAAATGTCAGTTGTGAGGTCAGGTTCCACACCTCCGGTTTCCAATTGTGTAAATATGAGTGAGCCAAGACTGCATTTCCAACAAGCCCTCCCAGCAATTCTGAGGCAGGTAGTCCAGGAAGCACACTTTGAAAACACTGCCATCTTCCATTCACTATAGCTTGCCTGCCACAGCATTCATGCGAGAAGGGGAGGGTTCTGTGTGGAATATTCCAGAAAGAACATTAGTCAATACGTATTCTGCTCTCTCCAGGGAGAAAGGGTGACTGATGAGTCAATGTGAGGATTCTAATTGTGTGGCTGCTCTGCCCCTAAATCATGGCAAAGGAATGGCAGACATCACAGCTAGATGGCACTGGCCATGATGGGGTTCCAGTTCCCTCTGCACCAAGGCCCTGCTCACCAAGCCACCCCCTGAGAATGACAACTAGCCAGGGTAGGCTTTCCCACAGAGAGAACCTGCAAGTACCAGCAAACCAAGCTTGGGAGTTGCCCATGACTCTACAATTAATGAGCTGTCACCTGAATTAAACAGTATCCCCCTGGGTTAGGAATGGTCACCCAGGTTGCTTCCCCATCCCTGTGTCTACACGCAACAAGTCACCAAATCTCTGGACATTCCCTTCTTTGGAAGGTAAGACACTCACTGAGAGAGTCCTGATACACCGAGCACTGCCTGTGTCCTAAATACCTACAGGACACCCCCACGCCAGCACTTTGCACGATAACTGACACAAAGAACGCTCTTAATAAGACATTATAGATGGAGTTGTGTCTACTAAGAAGAGTGGTTTCACCTATGACACTATGTCATCACTGTTCAATACATCCCCAAACTATGTCCTTGATACCTGAAAGTCCACAGGAATTGGGCCATAGGGCACACTGATGTTTAAGGCTTTGACGTCTTCCCGTTGCCTGATGTCCATCCAGGGGTTGTAGGCCACAGGGGGTAGGCCATCAGGGACCTCAGGATCTGGGGCCAGGGTGATGTTCTCCAAGGGATACAACTTCTGAAATTCCTTGGGGAAAAACACAAAGCCACAAGGTTGCCACTCTTCTGGCAAAAGCACAAGATTGTGGCTCTAGCAGTGTCTCTACTGCCTTTTCTCTAAGCCTGTGATGCATTTACATGGCGGCTCACTCACATTCCCCATGTATTTGTCCCTGACATGGAAAGTGCAGCTGTTAAGTTACTCTCATGAGATGCCAATGGCAATGAAATAAAAAACTTCTGTTTCCTACAAACTGAGCAGCAACCACTCTCTTCCTTCATACAAACAGATGCCCTTCTGTTCCCGTCCCCACCTCATGCCCGACTAGAAAAAGTATGATGAGGTGTTGGGATCCCAAAACCACACTCAGATTCAGTAATTCACTAGAAGAACTCACAAGATTCTGCATTTAGCCTCACTCACAGCTATGATTTATCACAGTGAAACACACTCAGCAAAGAAAGAAGGCACATGAGGCAAAGTCTAAAGGAAACTAGGCACAAGCTTCAAGTCTTCTTCCAGGGAAGTCACACAGGATACACTTACTTCTCCCAGCAATGAGTTGTGTGACAATACATGTAAAATGCTGCTAACTAGGGAAGCTCATTAAAGCCTCATCATCCAGTTTTTTTGGGGGGCTGATCAGGTAGGCACTGCCTGTCTGAAACATACCACAATTCCAGGCTCCCAGAACAACAAAAAAACCCAGGGGTTCAGCATCAACCACAATGTTTGTCTAAATGTTTAAGCATAGTAAGCCAATTCTGGGAATAGTGGAAACACTTCGGAAGTCAAAGTTTCCAGATGCCAGCCGAGGGCTAGACTTATAAGCAGGCCTTCCAAAGAATCACAGTCAAGCCAGCTTTGTTAACTGTTTTCTGCAAAGAGGCAGGAGAGGTGAACCTCACAGCCTTCTTCTATCAAGGGGGCTGACACCCCCTGCTAGGAAGGCAAGATCCCCTGGGCCAATCAAAGCAAGATACTTGCAGCATCAAAGAGCATACTGCTGGTCTCTATTCTCATTACAAGTGACGGGCATTCTCTGCAAAGTCAAAAGGATGGGATGCTCAGGCCCACATAAAACATGATAGGGTAAAATGGAAAAAGAATTCTAAAATAGAAAAGACTATATACTCTAAATGACATACAAGCAAGTATAGGATTCGAGGTTCCAAGAAGCAATGCAGTGCATTGTGTTTAGAGGATCTAACCTGACAGGCTCAGGGGGACAGGCAGTTTTTAAAGAGGGCTTCACCTTCCCTGGGCCTGTTTTGCAAGGGCTATCCCTTATTACAGGCTTTGGCAGCCAGCTCTGATTCACTTCGCTGTGATGATCTCACTATCCAACCCAATATGTGCTCAATAAATTCAAGGAAAGGAAAGCAAATCCTCCAGCAGAGGGAATAGAAAGCCAAGCGCTTCTTACAAGATTCTTACATGTTCTTGGCTTTGACCTCTAAATCCCATCTTCACCCCACTGAGTACACTAGTGCCTATCAAGCATCCATGGTGCCTGGGGATGGCAGGATGTTGCCATCTTCCCTGTGCAAATCCCTCCTTCAACAAACAACATAGCTGTGGTGGCTATGCTGGATCAGCCCCCAGCCAGCTCTTCACCTTGGGGTATCTGAAGGGAATGTGTGGCTTATGATACCCAACAGCCAGGAAGAAAGGACTGGCTGATGTTTTCATCTTTTCCAACAACCGTATGGCTTCCTCAGTGCTCTGTTTGTCAGGTAAGGTGCCCTCGGGCACATCCACCACATCCACAGGGCAAAGCAGGTTGGCATGGAGTTCTCCATCTGGCCCCCGACATGTCTTTCAAAACAAAATACATAACATCAGCTTTTTAAATGCAAGAAATGGAAGTCATGAAGACTACACACACAGATTTAATGTTCACATAACCAGCCCCTCCCATGTTAGTCATTCAGATTGAACAGAGACATCAGAATTAGAACTATAACAGGAAAATGCAGCTTGTTTTCCAGGCAGGGGCCAGAAATCCACTAGCACTTAGTTTCTTGCTATTAATACTCTTTCTCTAGATCATAACTAATTAAAAGAAACCCCGGTAGACTAATTATCAAAAAAATCCATCTCTAATTCAACATTGAAAAGATAAACAAGCCAGTTAAAAATGAGCAAAGGATTTGGATAGACATTTCTCCAAAGAAGACATAAAAATGGCCAATTGCACATGGAAATGTGGTTAACATCATTAGTCATTAGGGAAATGCAAAGCAAAACTACTTCACACCCAACAGGATGGTTATAATTTTTTAAGATGGAAAATAACAAGTGTTGACGAGGATGCAGAAAAATTAGAACTCTCTTACATTGCTGGCGGGAATGTAAAATAGTGGAGCCACTTTGGTAATTCCTCAAACAGTTAAACATAGTTATTATGCCCCCAAAATTAAAAATATATGCCCATGAGAACACCGGTACAAAACTGTTGATGGCAGTATTATTCCTAATAGTCAAAAAATAGAAACAACCCAAATATCCATCAAGTGATGAACTGATAAACAGAATGTGGTACAATAGACAATTATGCAGCCATAAAAAGGAATGAAAAGCCAGGCACAGTGGCTCATGCCTCTAATCCCAGCACTTTGGGAGGCCGAGGCAGGTGGACTGTCTGAGGTCAAGACTTCAAGACCAGCCTGGCCAACATGGAGAAGCCCCATCTCTACTAAAAATACAAAAAGTTAGCTGGGTGTGGTGGCACATGCCTGTAATCCCAGCTACCTGGGAGGCTGAGGCGGGAGAATTGCTTGAACCCAGGAGGCCGAGGTTGTGGTGAGCTAAGATTGTGCCATTACACTCTAGCCTGGGCAACAAGCACGAAAAAACTCTGTCTTAAAAAAAAAAAAAAAAAAAAAAAAAAAGAATATGGCCCTTTCACAGCCCTGCCTTGCTGACCCCAGCCTTGGGCAGGACAGCCCAGCACCCACCTCAGACCACTTGTTCATCTATATACATGATTTGCAGCACTCAAGGGGGATTTAGTATTGTCAGACCAGCCACTTTGAGAAAAAATGGGTAAGGGGCAGTTTACGGCAGGGAGCGGGCATTTGTAGGTGAGGCCACTAAAAAGGAGCAAGATGGCTTCAGGGAATTAAGATGGGATCTTCCCTACTCAAGCCACAAGCCAAAGGCCAGAGCCTACAGTTTTCACTGCGTTCTAAAATGCAAAGCTGTCACGAATTTAGAACAATACCTTCCACCTCACCTCCAAACCCTCACCCTTCCCATCACAATGTTTACTAAAACCTCAGCACTATGAGTCACTTCTCAGTTCTCCAGCAGCTTTTCTGAGTTTCTTAAACCTAGGTTTTAGTTTCATTTATACATTTGGGATTCCTCCAAACTGAGATTTTCTTTGTAGCTTCCTTTTTTTCATAATGCTCTAAAAATTTAAAACCCCTGTCAGAGTCTCACCTGCTGAACATACACATTAGATCAGACAGACACACGGCATGCCTTTCTCCCATTCTGGGCGGAGGCTCCTGGAGCTCAGGCCTCTTTTCTCCCTTCTGTGTCTCAGCATCTCCTACAACTCTCAGCCTCATCCAGAGTGAGCACCAGGGAGCCATTAAATGAATCTGACACATTAGTGCCCAAGGTTTTAGAGCAAGTAGTACCCACCAGCTTCTAAAATGAAGCCACCACACCTGTTGGGCCTAATGCTAAAGATCCCAACACTTACCTCTGTCAAGACATTATCACAAATGAAACCCACAACTTCCTGGTATATAACCAGCTGCACAGAACATGCAGCACACCCAGTAGTTTATTTGACAGACAAAGAAAAAAGTAGTTCCTCTTCAGAAATGTCACTTTCACAGCCTCACCTTAGAGTTTTCATACTTCTCAGAGGAGGGATGATAAGGTGGAAAAGACCAGCTATATGGAGAATCATCACTATGGTTAGAAGATATACCTTGAAAGAAAAAAAAAATTGTTAAATAAAACATGACAAGTCTTTCAACACCCCACTCCCCATAATTAAAACTCTAAACAAATAGGCAAGTGGAACCTCCCCTTCTTTGGGGCTCAGTTTCCTCATCTACAAAATCAGGACCTTAGGCCAGATGATAAAAAGTCCCCTCTAAAGCCAAACTCTCTCGCTTCTATTTGAGAACTTAACATCTGACTTCCTGGTCCCTAAGCCCTGACAATTTGTGCTAGGCTCTGTGGAAGGGACCCACAAGGACAAGATCACATAGCTCCTTGGAGCCCATGCTGAAACCTATCTCCCACCCTATGAAGGAGGCAGCAGAGGCATCGGCACCACCAGGTAGCTGATGGTGTAGGGGAGGGAAGCTTAGGCAAGGTCTGTGCCTTACCCAATGCTAACCAGATATTAGATGAGGGAGCCAGGACTCAAAACCATGTCTTAGAGCTCTAAGTTCAAGTGTTCACTCATGAAGCAGAAACCCACCCTTAAGCTTAGTAGCTTACAGTTTATTTGGGAAGACAGTATAACAGCACTTGAAACCAAAGAAGGACTGCCAGCTTTCAAAAGCATCAAAGTGCCAAGTGGGGGATCCTCCAATCACAGAGGTTATTATGAGTCACATGAGGACTGGCAGGGAGGACTTCTAGGAGCCAGTGAGGCCTGTGAGGCATCTGAAGGGAATTGCTGCCTCGAGCAGTTAGCCAGGAGTAGAAGGGATCGCAGGCAGAACCTCGGGAGAAAGGGCATCAGCAGCAGTCACACAGTGGGACTCCAATAGGGAGCACCAGAAGAGGCAGGAATAGACAGAAAGAGGGCAGTGTGCGGAGGGCCTATGAGAAGAGCAAGCACAGTGGAAAGAGCACACAGGAGGCCAATAACCACAGCTCCAAATCCTGATGTTGCCTCTTAGCATCCCTGCAACCTCTGGAAGCTACGTGACTTCCATGAGCCTCCACATCTTCCTTGGGAAATGATGATGATAACAAAAACTCACCTTGCTTGCTGTTGGGAGGATGAAAGGAGTGGCCAGCACAGTAACTGGCACATACCTGGCACTCAGTGCTGGCTACTGCCATCTTGGAGCAGGCCCAATGCTAACAGAAAAAGGTCCTGAGAACAAAAACTCAGCCAAAAAATGTGTTCCCACAAGGGCTGCAGGGAAAGGTTTGTTCTCTGGGAAGGACATGGCACTTAGAGCCTGATGCCAAAATCGAATCATCAAGAGGGAGGAGGTCAAGCAACATCACTCAGTCCTTGCCTGGCCTCCCCTCCCAAAGCACAGTCCCCTCCCTCTGCTGTGCTTCCTCCTCTCCAAAATCATCACTGCCCTCCAGCCGCACTCAAGCAAATGGTATGGTAATGAGAACACCAAACTGCAGAAAGTTCTCCTGACACTGGGCTTTTGGCTGTGCAATAGGACTCCTGACAGGTTCACCTCCAAAACTGGCCTGACTTAGTAGAGCTAAATGTGAGTCTCAACCTGGGCTGGCCAGCTAAGTTCCTGTAGAAGGCTAACACGCCTGCCAGTGAACCACTGAGCTCAGCAAAAGCTACTGAAAACATTCAAATCATCATCCTAAATGATAAGCATTATCGTCTTTATGGGGCTCTTGTCTTCCAATACTTTTTTCTCCATTTTTTTTCCTCAAATTCTCATGTGTTACTTCTATAAATAAAAAGTTTTAAAGTTTGTTTGCTTCTCACTGTCCCAATATTGGCATTAAAGAGAGTCAGTTTATCAGGCAGCATTCGAGGTCAGGAATGTAAGTCTCTGGCACCCTATACATCCTGGGTAACAGATTACACTCATTTTTCTGACCTAATTTCCAGAGTGGGCAGCAGCCCCCGCCTAAGCACAGCCCCCTCACTGGGCATCAAGTCTGCATTGCTGGCCACATGGGAGGCCCTCAGGTGTCTTCACCCCACCCCTAGGTTTACTGACAGGTACCCTGCAGGGAAGAGGGTGGGGCTCCCAGCTGGACTGCAGTCAACACTGCCACCTCCCCAGCCAGAGTCTTTCCTACCACCCCAGAAGCTGAAGGACCTAACAGCACACCCTCAGTGGTTTATGAAAGGAGGCAAAGTTCTTTCTACCCTTTTTCACTTTGGGTGAGAACATGAAGCCAAATTGAGAAGTCGGTTTTTTAGAAAGAAAGCACTGAATAGCGGGGCACTTGCCCGGCCAGAAGAGGCTCTGCAAAGACAGCCCCATGCCCAGGAGAGGATTCCCAGATTCAGGCACCATGAAACAAGAGAAGCCAGGCTATGGACATGGAGCAGTAAGTACCAGGATGAAAGACTTTTCCCACCGACATGGTTACATAGCCATTGTCCTTGAAGTACTGGGGGATGGTGGAGAAGTTTCCAGCGTGTACCCTCCAGTAGGAGTTGAAGTCGTACAGGCGGGTGGTGTCAGGTCTCCTGCCAGTGAGGAAGGACACACGGCTCGGGGCACACACTGCTTGCTGTTAGGGAGCAGAAGCAGAGGTAAACGTGAAGCAGAGGTAAACGTCGTCACAACAAAATAAGTCTGCCACCTCTTAGGTAACCAAGCAACCACTCTCCTGAGGCCCCTGGCAAACAGCTTGGTAGCTGAGTCATGCAGCTCTCAAACCAGCCACTGGGATTTGGGTGTTACCTGGCAACAGACAGAGTCTTCCCAGAGAGAGAAAGGGAAGCAATCAGCCCCTCAGCCCAGCAGATGCTTGTATCCTCCTACGCAATGACCTCCCCAGGCTTTCATCCTCCTACGCGATGGCCTCCGCAGGAACACAGAGTGGCCAGTGTTGCTGGGGGCAGACTAATGACGGGGTTTAGGGAGCAGAGCCACCATGGCTGGCTCTCACCTGAGGCCGGGTTGGCAGATCTGTGGGTGGCCTTCAGCAGCACCCCTTCCTTCTGAGCACCAGGCAAGCCCCTGTTCTGGGAGAAAGCTGGCCAGGGCTGCTGTGAACACATTAGGGCCAGGGCACACCTTACACCCAAGGGGAAGGCCACCGTTGGAGGTCAAGCTTTCCCGCTAGTGGACAGCCAGATGTTCTCGACCACCATTTTCCAGACTATGCTTCCCTCTAACAAGGAGATGTCCCACACAATCCTCGCCATCTAACAATAGCTGAACCTCCCCTACCGGCAGCACATGAAGAGGCACACACCCACACCTAGAGGTTCTCAGACATACCTGCGCAAAGGCATTCTGGAAGAGGAGGCTGTGGGATGCCAGTTGGTCAATATTTGGGGACCTCACCAGCTTATCCCCATAACATCCCAGGGAGGGGCGCAGGTCATCCACAATGATGAGAAGAACATTCAGTGCATCTACACAGGAGGGAGGGGCTTTGGTGAGGCAACTGCACTGACACCATCAGGGTACTAAGAGGCCCAAGGCTGGACCCTGCCCCTGAACAGCCCAGCCAGGGAGGGAGCTGTGCCTCAGCAAGGGTGGGAGTGGGGCTCCAGGAGGAAGCCTGAGTCCTGGGTGGCAGGGTTAGGCTTTGGCCATGGCCTCAAACCTGGGTGAGGGAGTGAGATAGTGAATGAAAGATGACAGAAAGGAAAGAATTTAGGAAGAAAGAGAATGGTGTATGGAGGGAAGGACAGATGGTTGGATAGAGGAAGAAAAGGAGGAAAAGATGAATAGCTGAAGGGAAGAAAAGATAGAGAGGAGGGGAGGAGAGAGAAATATGAATGGATAGAAGGTAAAAAGGAAGGATAAACTAATGGAGGGAGGAAAGGAGAGGGGGAAAAGATGAAGGGAAAGAGGAAGAGAAGTATGGTGGGACAGAAGGAGGATTAATGAACAGATGGAGGGAAGGGAGGGATGGAGGGGAGGAAGGAGTGAAAAATGGAGGGAGGGAAGGAATGATGGATGGATGAAAGAAAGAATGGTAGGAGAGAGAGAGGGTAAAAAGAATGGATATAAACAAGGAAGGATGGATGGAGACGAAATGGCAGAGGGGGCGTGAGTGTCACCTGTGGTCGAGTTGGCCTGTGCCTGGGATCCCAGGGTGACGCAGACGGAGCCCAGGACCAGACCGAGCAAGAGAAGGCATCGGCCGGTCCGGGGCGGTGGCATTTCGGCTTTGACTTGACCGCTCCGGAGCGGTGGTGACAGACTGCAGCAGGCGGCGCGAATAGCAGCCGCCGCCGCAGCCACAGAGGCCTCCACGTCGGGAACCCACGAAGACTGCGCAACCAGCCGCCGCCCGGGCCCAAAGGCCCGGGCGCTGGCCGCAGCAGGAGTGAGTCTGTGCGTCTCTTCCCTGCGTCCCTCCCCTCGGGGGCGGGGCCTTGAGGGGTGTGCGTCATCCTGCGGCAGTGGGCGTGGCGGAGGGACGGGCGCAGAGCGGGGGCGGGCCAGCTGCTTGGAGAGTTTCTCAGACTCAGCAGCCCTTAGGCCCCTAGGTGGAGAACTGCTGAGGGTATTTCGATTCAGTCACTGCCCTTAATAACTAGCAGTTACCCGTCCTTTTGCCTTCGCTTGTGCTATGCCTTTCACCTGGAAGCCCTGCTCTTCCCTCTTATCCTTATAAAAGACACACTTCTTGCATTCCAGCCCCAATGCCATACTCCTTCGATGAGGCGGTTTGAGAAAGTCTCTTCCTCCATCTAAAAGGACTCCCTTTCCTATTCATTTCTTCAACTAATTCTTATTAAGCATCACAAATATGTATAACAGGCGCTGTTGGTGGCACTGGGTCTCTATGTCCCTGCCTTGGTGGAGCTTAAAACAATAAATAAAAAAATAACATAGAATGTCGGTGGGCATACCCGGTCTGGAGAAAAATAAAGCGTGGGTACGGGGGCATGCTTGTTATTTTCTATGGGGTGGCCAGGCGGGGCCTCATTAGTGAAGTGACATTTACACAAAATTTTGAAGGAAGTGAGGGAGCAAGCCGCGTTGAGATCTGCAAGAAGGGTGCGCCAAACAGAGAGAGCAGCAATTGTGGAGATGGAATCCTAGCCCTGCACTGTCCTGTATTGAATACTATTATACTGTCCTAATACTGCAAACACAGTTTGATTTTCAGCTTTGAGAATCAATCTATAACAAAGCCCAGATGACTTAATTATGACTAAACAACAACGGACAATGGGAAGGTACAAATACAGCCGTGATGGTGCTGTAATGCACTCCTCAGATCTCCCTTCAAGACCAAAAATTCTGTTTCCCTAGCTGGCTTGAAAGCTGTTAGCTATCCTTAGCTGTTGTTAACCCTCCTCAGAAATTGTCTTAGGAAAAGATAGGCCCCTCAACCATGGTCACCCCTGTTCTCAGGAAGCCCACATCAATGATTCAACTTGAAGGTATAGAGGTCCAGCTTCTTACCCCAACTTGGGACATCTCTGAAAGGCCATACCAGCCTCAGAGCTCCCTGTGGGGTTAGCTGAAGCCTTTTTTGAGACTGCCCACTTTCTCCATTTGCTGAATTCTGATTTCTTCCCTCCCCTCCCCGATCCTCCCCTTCCACAGGTGTTAATCCTAAGAGTTCTCCCTAAGAAACTTCCTGTACATTACTCTCCATCTTAGTCGGCTTCCTTGGGAACCTGACCTGGAACAACACTTGACAGAAAGCTGGAAGGAGGAAGGGAGATGGCAGGAAGTGTAGGCACATTAATATCCTGATCACAAAGTAAAAAAATTGTATCAATAGTTGTCTTCTCCAGTTCATAGAAAGAGAAATACAAATTTACGGATATTAAAGATACGAAAGTAACCAATAGAGAACTTAAAAATAGCAATAATAAATAAATCTATATATTAAAAGGAGAAGGGGGGTGCCAGGTGCGGTGGCTCATGCCTGTAATCCCAGTACTTTGGGAGGCCAAGGCGGGAGGATCATGAAGTCAGGAGTTCGAGACCAGCCTGGTCAATATAGTGAAACCTGTCTCTACTAAAAAAATACCAAAATTAGCCGGCCGTGGTGGTGTGCACCTGTAGTCCCAGCTAATCTGCTGAGACAAAAGAATTGCTCGCTTGAACCCGGGAGGTGGAGGTTGCTGTGAGTCGAGATCATGTCACTGCACACCAGCCTGGGCGATAGAGTGAGAATCTGTCTCAAAAAAAAAAAGGAGAAGGGAAAATGGTAGGGAGAGATGAAACAAAATTTTCCATGAGTTGATTACCAATGAAGTTCATTAATGAGTACCTGGGGTTTATTTCCAAAATCCAAGGTTAAAAATGTGTATGTACATAAAAAGAGGAAGGGATAAATGATCTCATCTATCATAAGAAGAAGTCAGCAATGTCTAAAGTTGAAAATGACATTAGAAAGTTAGTATAGAAATACCACAGTATTTAGAGAGACAGGGAAAATCTACCAGAAGAAATGAAAGTAGAAACATTTAAAATTAGAACAGAAGAGGGAAAGTATAGGGCAGAGGGCCTTTGCTTTGTATTACATGTTTTTTGGTCTTTTTTGACTTGTTATGTATTAGATAATGTCCTCCCCCAAAAATTATATGTTGGAGTCCTAACACCCCGTACCTCAGAATGTGATCTTATTTGGAAACAGGGTCTTTCCCAGGGTAATCAAATTAAAATCAGCTAATTGAGTTGGGCCCTAATCCAATATGACTGGTGTCCTTATCAAAAGAAAAAATGTGGACACAGATACAAACACACAGAGGGAAGACAACCATGTGAAGACAGAGGATTGAAGTGATGCATCTACAAGCCAGTGGATGCCAATGATTGCCAGCAAACCACAAGAAGCTAGGAAGAGGCAAGGAAGCATTCTTCTTCTGTAGGTTTCAGCAGATGCATGGCCCTGCTGGCACCTTGATTTAAGATTTCTGGCCTCCAGAACTGTACTGTTGTTCTAAGCCACGTAGTTTGTAGTACTTTGTTACAGCAGCCCTATAAAACGAACACTACCTATAAACAATTCAAAATTTAACAAGATTGATGGGCTACAGAGAAGCCCATCTGGAATAGAAAATTACATATGCCATTTGGCACAATTGTGTGTGTGTTTGTTGTTTGTTTGCTCTGGTGTAAGCTCGATGTTTTGCTGGGGCTCATAGCAGCAGAAGGACTAGCGTGGGAGCAAGTGGAGAGAGCCAGTGAGAGAGCAGTTCAGGTGGCTGACAGTGGTTAAGAAGACTGGTGGACTGAGGACAAAGCTCTAGGGGATAGGTAAGTAGGTAGAGTCTTATCTTCAGGGTCTCAAAAGGCTGCAGTGAAGGACTGCATTCTCACTTACAGCTCGAGATTATGGATAGGCAGTATAGGTGTGAGAAACTGGTTTTAGTCCCAGAATGGGATCCTAAAATTTGAGATTTCTGAGATAAAACAGATCCTGGTGATTTAAAGGTCAAGGATGTGGCCTTGAAGGTGGGAGGCTGAGGTGGGGAGGAAGAGATTGCTAGAGGTTAGAGATGAGGAAGAAGTCAAGAGTCTGTGAGTGGCACAGGCTGTTGATGAATACACTGCAGTCCCCCAGAATGACGACAGGACACAGGGTACCAAGGCAGCCTGTGCACCTGGTGCCTGAGTCTTCAGTGAATGACGGATAAGTTACATAATCAATGTTATGTAACAAACGACTACAAGCTTATCACTCGTTACTTATTACCACTCATTTATCACCTCCCAGTTTCTGTGGGTCAGAAGTCCAGGCACAGCTAAGTTGGGTCTTATCTTCAGGGTCTCAAAAGGCTGCAGTGAAGGACTGCATTCTCACTTACAGCTCGAGATTATGGATAGCACAATCCACAGGTACTCAAGTCCTGTATATCAGATGTGTAGTATTTACATATAATATATATTCATCCTTCCATATACTTTACATTATCTCTAGATTACTTATAATTCCTAATGCAATGTAAGTGCCATGTAAACAGTTGTTATCCTGCATTATTTATGAAATAATGACAAGGAAAAAAAGTCTGTACATCTTCACTGCGGAGGCAACCATCCATCTTTTTCAAATTCACCAGTTGGCTGAATCCACAGATGTGGAACACGTGGATAAGGAGGGCTGATCATACTACATTCTACCCATACACAAGGGGTCACATACAATAGGGGGCAGGAAACTTGGGGGGCCACCAAGAATTGCATCTACCACAAAAGAGCCCTATCTTGAGTCTCAATTCGAACAGATAACAAAATTTAATCTAGTCAATTCCACATTTTCCCAGTTACTTCAGGATTGTCTTACTAATTATCAATTATTGTTACCAAGCAATTCAGGATTGTCTCCTTTGCCACAGACTATAGCCTAAATTCTGTGAGGCTCTTGAATTCGGGGGCAGGGGGAGAGAGGGGGAGAGAGGGGGAGAGAGAGAGAGAGAGAGAGCGAAAGAAAAGAGAATCTGGCCATTGTCATTGGCAACTTGTCCATGCGAGCATCCACTCCAATGTAAAATCCCATCCAGCCCTCAGAGATGGCGTATCTTCATGCTGTCTTCCAATGTGGTGTTGTCATTCTAACCTGGTTCCTAGCTGCACAGTCCATGTCACTTTCTATTGTGACATTTTTTGGAGGCATGCTCTCTCTCTCACTCGTTCTCTCCCCCTTTCCCTCTCCTTCTCACTCCTTCCCTCCCTCTTTCTCTTTCCCTCTCTCTCTCTCCCTCCCTCTCTTATCTCCTTGGAGGCACAGGAAAATTCAGCTGCTTTCCCATGCCACTTTAGTGTCACAGGAAGCTCAGGGGACTGCCCCAGACACTTCTGCAGCTAAGATATGTGGATTTGGTATGAGGGGAGTTCTAGGACTCTAGGCCTTTTAGGGTACCATGCAACAAAGAGAGTCCCCTTGCTCCTGGGCTTCTACTCTACCTCCACCTTTGAGCCCAACTCCAGGAGGAGGGGACAAAGCACATTGGCAAATTGGTATATATTCCCACACATTGGTAGGATGAGGATTCAGCGGAGAAATCAAGATTTGTTTCTCATTTCCAGGTCCAGGGATCCTTGGATGGGCACTCCTCAAGGGCAGGCTCTGTCCTGTCCATTTACTACTGTATCTCCAGGGCTAGTACCTTCGTGGGGTTTCAAGGACTTGGGATGAGAACCATGATGAGAATTACCTGGATGAGAAAGGAGAGTGTCCTAGGCTGTCCTTAGCCCAATGCCACTGAGGGCTCTCTCCCCTACAGAGTCACAAGCAGGGCCCTGGACTCTGTGGATGTGGGTAACCCCCCATATAGGCACCGAGGAATGAGAGCTAAGCAGAACCCTGGCACAGTTAGGGCTTGAGGAATATCTCACTTTATAGTGTTACTACTCAGCTATTTCCTTTTATATAATCCTTTACATAATCATATATTAGTTTATAGAAATAGGTCTTGAAGTATCCCTTTATATAATCCTCTATATATAATCATATAATAGTTGATAGTATGAGTGCCTAAAGAATATTTCCCTACATATATACCTATAATTATATCTTAGTTCATAATCAGAGGAATGCCTAGAGTGGACACAGTACAGAGCATAAATTTAGGGATAAGCGGCTTATAATCGGAGGAATGCCTGGAGCAGACACAGTGCAGAGCATGAATGAAGGGCAAAACAGT